GTCTCCGCACGCACCAGGCCCTGCACGCACCAGGCCCTGCATGCACCAGGCCCCGCCATGCACCAGACCCTGCACGCACCAGGCCCTGCCATGCACCAGGCCCCACCATGCACCAGACCCTGCCATGCACCAGGCCCTGCACTCACCAGGCCCTGCCATGCACCATCCCCGCACGCACCAGGCCCCGCATGCACCAGGCCCCACACGCACCAGGTTGCACCAGGCAAAAGTGCCTCCCACCCAGGCCTATCCCCACCACTGGCCCAGGGGTAGTTTGTGTGGGATTCTTATCGGGGATCTTGTGTGTGATTGTGAGCTTATTTGGTGCTTTTCCCCCAAAACCCCTTCACATCCTAATTCCCTGGTACGGTTCTGACCCCAGTGGGATATCAGCTGATCAGTTCTGCCCTGAATTCTCCGCGTGGCTGTCTCAGCTCGGTGCCTGAGTTCCTGTCCTCCTTCTGTCCCTAAGCTTTTCCTTTTTTTTTTTTTTTTTTTTTTTAATATATCTCACTGATTTTTTCACAGAGAGGAAGGGAGAGGGATAGAGAGCCAGAAACATCGATGAGAGAGACACATCGATCAGCTGCCTCCTGCACACCCCCCACTGGGGACGAGCCTGCAACCAAGGTACATGCCCCCGGGACCCCTCAGTCCGCAGGCCGACGCTCTATCCACTGAGCCAAACCGGCTAGGGCGCTTTTCCTTATTTTTATCATGAGTCATTTCTCACAAATGCAAGGTCTTGACTGCTCACATCTGCCAGGATCTTCCCCTACCTTCTCATGCTAGGTCGCTGTTATAATGACACTATTTCAGTAGTCGCTGATGTTGTTCTTTGTAGTAGTCACTGTTAAGGTTGAACTCATATGCATTGTTATTTAGAAACATCTCTCAGCCCCGAGTTCCTCTGCTCGTGTTACTGACAGTTGGAACGAAACCGTCCTCTACTCACGTGGTAGGACATGGTGGTACGTCACTCGGGGTCTCTCCCCGACACCGGGCCAGGCTGCCCTCGCTCTGTGTACCATCCCGTGCTGCCAGTCTGGAAGCAGTGCCAGTGGCCGCTGTCATTGGCAGGCTTCCTCTCCTTCCTCAGAGGTTCCAGAGCTGGACCAGAGCCTTGGAGCAGGCTTCCTTTCTCGGGCCAGCTCAGCCCAGAGGGTCCCAAGTGTGACCAGGAAAGCACACCATTCTTTGTAAAGTCAAACCCATTAAACGAAACCTAAGGAGGCTGCCAGAGCTCTCCAGGACAATCAAGAAAGATACATGAAAGGGGTGGCATGACAGGTACATGAGAAGGGGTGGCTTTGTAAGACAGAAACCCTGGGAAGAGCAGATTGGGGTGGTAGCTGAGGGGCAGGTCTGTATTCTCAGCACCAAGTGTTGGAGGGGATCTGGCCCCTGACACTCTGTCGCTCCTCTGAGCGGGAGCCCTTCAGGGAAGGGGCCACCCTCAGATTTCACTGGGTCAGCGGGACAGTCGGTGGCCTGCTTTCTCTCAGCGCCGTCCCCCAGCTTTGGGTCCCCTGCTCTGTATTGCGGAGGCTGCATTTCCGGCCTCCCTTGCTCTGGTTTCTGACACTGGACACCAGCGTGGTCGGAGGGGGTGGCAGCCGGAGCATTTCTCCCTCCTTCCTTAAGGGCAGCCTCTCAGCGCCTCCCTCCAAGGTCCCGGCTCCCGCAGAGGGGTCCCTGTGGTCCCAACTCTTGCTGGCCCTCCCCGCCCAGGGTGGGCTTCCGACAGTGGGGGTTGTTGGGTTGCCTCCCCCGCCCTGTGTGGCTAAGATTTCTTCTACCATTTGTGTCCTTGAATTCCATGTGCAATTTCCTGTGTTGGGAATACCTAGATTGGATCCCACCTGGGCTAATCAGCTAATGCATGGACAGATTCCGCTGGAAAAGAAAAGAAAAGAAAAGATAGCGTTTTTTGTTTTTGTATTTGTTTTTAGTTAATCCTCACCTGAGGATATTTTTCCATTGATTTTTTTTTTTTAGAGAGAGTGTGGAAGGGAGAGAGAGACAGAGAGAGAGAGAAACATTGATCTGAAAGAGACATATCAATCAGTTGTCTCCCACACGTGCCCTGACCAGGGCCAGGGATCTAGCCTGCAACCCACGTATGTGCCCTTGACCGGAATAGAAACCCAGACCCTTCAGTCCGAGGACCAACACTCTATCCACTGGGCCCAGCTGGCTAGGGCAGAGACTGCAGTTGTAAACGCAGGGCTCCGGGCCTATGTGCCCCCGCTCGGGCTCAGGGTCTTGGTCCAGGCTCAGCGTGTGGAGTGTGGCAGAGCCAGTCCTGGCTGTGAGTCACACAGGGGGTGTTACATTGAAAACTACAGTCAGGCTCTCTACTCTGGCCCATCACTGGGGTTCCTTCGCTTGCTTTTATCTGGCCTTAGTGGGCTTTACTGCCCAAACTGGAACCCAATATGGAAACCATGATTGTTGGTATTGCTGACCAGCACCCCACCCCCACTTCCCAACGAACTGATTTGGGATCCTAGCCTGTTGGGGGGGCTGAGGGCAGCTGCTGAGGGAGTGGCCTTCATCAGCCTCTGTGCTGTTCACTGGGTGACACTCACTTTTCGACTCCATTGCCTGATGGCGGGGGTGGCTCACTGCAGGGGGAGGAATCGAGGGCACGAGAGGGGGTTGTTGGTTCATTGTTGCCCTGTAGGTGCAGCAGGAGCCCAAGCGTGATGATGACTCTGATTCTAAATGGACATACATTTTTTTGTACTTTTATCTCCAAGTGGGTGACCTTTAAAATATTTGCTTTATTTGTTTGCCTGCCTGTCTCATTGATGATTGCTTTGCACGTCTGCAGCATCTAGAAGCACGGTAGCAGAGCAGGAGCGGGCCCGGGCCCAGCGGAAACAAGGCTGCCTGTCTCCTGTGCCCGCCTGTGCTCGATACCGCAGGCCCAGGTGTCAGGCTGGGACCAAGGCCAAGGAGGGAAATGTGATGTCCTGACATAGATTAAGAGAGATCGATGTGCAGTGGTTCACTCCGTGTGTCCTGTTTCAACAGCTAGTTCTTGTCAGGCCTTTATTCTTACGTCCTGAGAGGAGAAAACGCAATCATGGAGTTATCAACAGGATTTCATTGATCATTCTGTAAGAATGAAATTGTGCTCCGTGCATTTCCCCCCTCAAGGTGTCAGGGATCCTGAGTTCATCGGTCTAACCCCGTCAATTTAGAGATAAGGGCAATGAGGTCCACAGGGGTTAAGTGATTGGCCTGCCGTGCAGCGTGGCTGATGGGGAGGCTGGCTCCAGCACGCACTGCGCCCGCCCCTCCTGTTCTTCTTGGCTGGTGTGTGTGTTTACAGCCAGCGTGCCAGCATCACTTCCCAACACTGGGCGCAGCGGCCTGCTCTGACACCCCAAGAAGGGCAGCAGGGAGACGGTGGGTCTTCGTGGACCTCATTCCCAGACACAGTGAGAGCTGCTTGGCTCAGACGCAGGGCTGAATTATTCAAACTGTGAGCGAATACGCTGGCCAAGGGGAAACTTGGGCTGTGCCAGTGCAGCCAAAAGTGAATCCCAAAATAGATGCTTTTGAATAGACTCACTGCCACAATCTCCCGATGGAGCTTCTGATAGTGAATGCTTTCTCTGGAATGTGGGTACCAGAAAAATAGTGTTATTAACCCCTAGAGTGCCGGGGAGCGTGATCGCGCTCCTGTCTTTCGCCAAAAGTGCCGGGAGCGCTATCAAAGCTTCGAAATGGCGTCCAGTTCTAAGTCTGCTTTTATTAGTGATGATGATATTGCTAAATATGTCAATGTAGTAAAGGTTTCCTTAAGTTTTTGAATATGTAACTTCATTTACTTGCGATTCATAATTTTTTTCCTAAACTGCTGTAAAATCAGCAAAAATGCCTTGGCAATTTTAGCATAGTTCCTAGGATATTGGTTGGCACTCAAAGGGTTAAAGAGGGTTAACTTAGATCATTGCTAGGCTCTGAAGGAAGAGAGCCTTCAGATGATGAGACGAACAAAACAAAAACCTTTCTCTAGGAGTCAAATGTGACTCTATGAGGAGTTGGTGGAATGGAATAAAAGAAAAGTTAGCACTTTAAGAAAAATGCAGTTTAGATTTCTTATAAGCATGATAGACTAAGCTAACGCAAACGTGCCCCTCCTGCCGGGAAAACAGGAAGTGCATAGTTAATCCTGTAAGTGAAGAGGGAGCAAAACACACCCCTCACCGCTGTCCTCCGTCTTGGCCTTTGTTGGGTTTGGCCCAGGATTGGTCCAGGGGCTGGGGGCTAGCATTCTAATTCCCAGTGGAGGTGTGGGAGCCAGAATTTGCATAAAGCTCAGAGCCTTGAAGACCTGTCGCACCTTAGGGCTTAGAAATTAAAACACCAGCCGTGCATGGGGGTGGGTTCCAGTTTTAGTCTACCTCAGCAGCACAAGAACCAAAAGCCAAACATTAGCATAAAAACAGGTGCAACTATTGAAGACATTCTGGTCTTTCATCGTGACAAATGCAGAATTATCCTGTAGGCATCCCCCACCGGAGCATACAGGATGCAGAGATGAAACAGCAGCACATAAGCAAACCAGCCATGGCTGGGGGTAGGGGGTCAGGAACTACAACAAACAGGAGAATACAAACCTCCAAGAATCTGAAATAATAAATGAAGTTTACTGTAAAGATAAGTATTTTAATTTTTAAAAGTGATCAAAGGAGAAATGGAGCCATAATGAAAGAATAGAACAGTATGAAGAAAAAGCAATTGGAAGATTAAAAAAAAAACTTCTTAAAGTGAATGATATGGTTATTGAAGTTAAAGAAGAAACCATCAGATTAGACACAGTTGAAGACCAAATTTGTGAATTAGAAGATAAATCAGGAAAGTTTCTAAAATGCACCAAGTGAAATAAGTGGAAAGTAGGAAAGTGTTTAGGAGTCATAGAGGAAAAAATGAGAAGATGTATTAGGAAACCCAGAATGGAAGAATATTAAAATGGGAGAGGAAAATAAAAAGATTTGAAAAGAATAAGGACTTTTAAAAAGATAACGGCTGAGAATTTCCTAGAATTGGAAGAAAGCCAAACAGTTTTGCAGCAGAAGAACAAGATGAGGGAAATCACCTATCAGATATCCAGACATATGACAGAGCTGTGATAATTAAGATGATGTGTTATTAGTCCAGCAATGGACACATGGGCCAATGAATAAAGTCAAGGGCTTTAAACAAACATATGTGGCAGCTTATACTTTATAGAAAAGATACTACAAATCAGTTGGAAATGACAAGGTATTCTGTAAATTGTGCTGAGAGAGGCCCTGTCTTGTCTCTTGACCCATCTACCCCTCTCCCTCGCCCCCAGCAGCTCGGAGTGAGCTTCCCAGACGGCTGTCTGGCCTCCCCTCCCCAGAGCTGCTCTTCCTGCTGCTGCTGAGGGTCTCAGGACAAGTTTCTAGGTCAAAGAAGTTTGAGAAATGCTGAATCCTTTTCCTCACTTCTTTTTTTTTTTAATTCTTTTTTTTTTGTAATATATTTTTTATTGATTTCAGAGAGGAAAGGAGAGGGAGACAGAAACGTCATTGATGAGAGAGAATCATTAATTGGCTGCCTCCTGCAGGCCCCACAATGAAGATCGAGCCAGCAACCCAGACATATGCCCTGACTGGGAATTGAACCATGACCTCTTGGTTCATAGGTCAACGCTCAACCACTGAGCCACTTCTTGTAGATTTGATGTGCATTAGACTAGTAAAGACCCTGAGAGTCACAGTAAGGAAACCTGTTCATTTTCTTCAGTGTCCTTTTGGAAAGAGTGGTCGCACACATGGGCTTCCGAGACTGTTGGGGGTAAATTCAGCGCCCACAGTCACCATGGTGCTCAGGGCCTTCCACAGTCTGGGCACCGCTGGGCTCTTCAGGCAGGTCTCCCATCACTGCCCGTGTGCGGCGAAATCACAGCCTCTCCGTTCTGGAACGTTCTGACCTCATGCCATTCTCACTGCCTGGGATGGCCTCTCCCACCCTGTAAGACTCTATTCTACCTTTGTGGTTCACTTGGGACACGTGGCCTTATGTGAAGCCTTCCCCGACCCTCATCAGGTGGAATCAGTGCCACCATAGCTTCGTTCCCATCACCTGAATGAGCCGTCCCGTGTGACGGCTGCTGTCAGTCAGGCCTGAGTCTCTCCTATTGGTCCCTGTGGCTTCGGGCACACCTGCCCGCCGGAAACTGGGACACCATCATGGACTTGGCTGCTGTTTTCCCCATCGCTGGGCCCACACCACCCTTCCTGGCATCCAGGGGCCACTGCCATCACAGTGTGGTCTCAGAGAGCAGGGCGGCCTCTGCCGTTGGGCCACGGAGCCACGCTGTTCCTGCTGTATTATGGCCAAGTGTGACAGAGGTTTCTAAATGCTAGCTCTCTAAATGCTACCTCTCATTTCACGGTAGCAGTGTCCGGCCACCTGTCTGCCACCAGCCGTCTGGCTCCCCCAGCTCTTTCTGCGGGGAGGTGAGGAGACGCGAGGCCTGGTCCAGGAGACAGGGCAGAGGGCCCTGGCCGGATGGTGATGAACCTGGGCTACTTCCATGTCCCGTCCCCCCAGGAGCCACTTGTGTTGAATCTCAATTCAGTATTTGGACATCATTTTAAAAAATTCTATTTTATGAATATGTAGATTTTTTATTCTCCTTTTTCCTCATGAGGCAAGAGGAGAAATAACATTTATTAAGAACATTCTAAGTGCGGGCGCTGTAGGAAGTGCTTTAACTATCTTAACTATAATATTTTTACATTTATAGGCATACCCGTTTTATTGCGCTTTGCTTTATGGTGCTTCGCTGATACTGATTTTTTTTTTACAAATTGAAGGTCAGACCCTCCACCAGCAAAAAGATTCTGACCTGCTGAAGGCTCAGATGATGTGTAGTATTTTTATCAAGAAAGTATTTTTTAATGAAGAGATATGCATTTGTAGGCATAGTGCGATTATTGCACACTTACTGGGCTATGATACAGTGTAAACAATGTGCACTGGGAAACCAGCGGATTCGCGTGATGAGTTCTGTTGCGATACTCGCTTTATTGTGATGGTCTGGACCCGGCCACCGTGTCTCCGAGGTCGGCCTCGTACACTCTGTAGCATGCACCTGCCTCAGAAATGAGGCCTCATTCACTGGGGTAGCCAGTCACTTCAGGGGTAGCAGGTCTGTGTGTCGGTGAACACGCAGCCACAGTGGATGAATTTAGTCCATAAAAATTAATTCCCACGTGTGCTGTCTTATCATTTTAGGGCCACTTTACCCATTCCGAGAATCAGTAGAAGATGGGAGACGGAAAAGGAACATTCCGATTTTGGTTTGGAACCTCCGTGTGATGGTGCACGTAACCCTCTTACGGAGGGTGTGGTGCACACCTGTGCTCTCGTCCAGGTATCCCACCGCCCTCCGCGACCCAGCCAGGCGGACCCTGTCACTTCCAGAGAGACTGCAGATCGCTGGCACCTCCTGAGCCGTCTCCCCGTGCGTCCTGGTGGGAAGGAGGGCGATTGTGTCATTGGGACGTTTGAAAACTTCAGTTATCAAATTTCCTATGAGGCTGGAGAGCCCTGTGGCTTCTGGAACCGTATCCAGATGCGGCCCCCCTTTTGTACTTCTCAGTGGCTTTGTGGGTGTGTCCAGGGCTGCTCATGCATTCTTTTTAATGAAAAGACTTATTTTTATACTTAAATGCCTTATAATCTTAAACTGAATTTTACCAAATGCTGATGTCCAAGCCGTTCTGTGTGATTCTGCCCCTGAAGTTCATCAGGCACAGGGCCCCTTTGACATTAAATGGCAATTTCTCATTTTCTCCGGTTTTCGATGTCTCGTCTGGCTGCGGAGACTGGTGTCACTTTCCCTGAGTCGGAGGCTTCCCGGGGTGTCCCCGTCACCTAGGACAAGGCCCTAACAATGGAGCTGGTTATGGGGTTGCTCTCCGTCCTTCCCCTTCCCGCACCAGCGGTGGACGAAGCCCCTGAGCTCAGGTGACTTCATTGCGTTACCCACGTGGGCCGGTTCTCTGCCGGCCACCAACCCTCCGCCTTGGCACTCTGAGGAGCCCGAACCATAAACACCCACAATGTGTAGTTGTGGAGGGATTCACGTTGGAGAGACAGACAGAAGGGGACAAGGAGCCGGAGGACACTAATAAATGCCATCTGTGATGGGCTCTCAGAACCACTGGAAAGGAAGCTGACGCTCCAGCCGAGCAATGGCCAAGCCAACGGGCACAAAATCAGCCCGGACTCTTGCTGTGGGGACGCGGGGACGCGGGCGGGGGGGGGGGGGGGGGGGGGGGGGGGTGCCTGTTTCCAATTGGCCTGTCACCCCTGGCCAGTGGATGGGGTGCCCACAGACTGGGGCTCCATCCTTGGCTTTGGTGGGTGGGGCCAGGGAAGGGACACGGCCAGACCAGCCTCCCTCATCTTGCTGTCCTCCAGCTCGGAGAGGGAGCAGGACAGTCAGTGGTCCACAGAGTTGGAGGCAAAAACAAATCCATTGTGCTGAGCCCGAGGGTGGCGCATGGAAGAGAGAGCCAGGTCCTTGGGAGGATGCTGCGGGCGCCTCTGGGAGAAGCTGAGCTCTGGAGGCCCTGGGCCTCCCCATTACCCACTATTTCCCTACCAAGCACCCAGGTCCCCCCCCGCCCCAAGCCTTGAACAGACCCTCAGGTGTCCTGAGTGGACCCAGGATGAGAGAGAGCAGATTGCCTTCATCACCCACGCAACAGCTATGACGCCAACGAGGTGACATAGTGAGCGCTTAGGTGCAGCCAGCATTTCTCTGGCACGGCCTTTGACGGACACCTGATTCCCATGACGACGCATGGGCATGTGCCAGCCTCGCCCACTTTACACATGGCACCAGGTCCAGAGAATCTGTGCCATCTGAGGCCACTCAGCTGGTTGGAGGACGGCTCTCAGAGCCCACCTGGATAGCAGCAAGAGTCTAGGCCACTCCGAGCTGTGATGTGACAAGCCAGGTGACCATCGTGGACGGAAGGCACGCCTTTTCCTTGCAAACACCTGGGTAAGAATGTGTGTGCCTTTCCTCGCAGTCAAAATACTGCCTGTTTCTAGAATGCAGAGCCTCAAAAAGCAAGAGTGCACACACACACACACACACACACCCTGAGAGGGGATGGACACTGCCCACCGCCCTACCCTGGCAGGTAAAGGGACTCCCCTGGGGAGACAGAAGTGGCCTCTTCAGGGAGATGGGGGGCCCCACACTGTGCAGAGGTGTGATGATTCAGTCAGGCTCTCATCGGCTCGCTGTGTAGCGGGTGCTGGGCGGGAGCCGCTGGAGCTGCCTGTGGCCTTGCAGCTCCAGAAACTCGCCCAGCCCGTCACAGGGGCAGTGGCAGCAGCGCCGCCCGTGACTTCTGCGGAGATGGCAGCTCTACACGTGGAAAGGAGCATGGCCGCTTCCTCTCTGCAGTATGTTTCCCCGGAGAGACCACCACCATTTGATCTATTTTTGATTAAAATGTAAAAATTAAAAATTAAATCAAATGGTGTAACTCCTTGGGGAAAACACACTTGGGTTATGAAGTATTCCCCACAGTAACCTTGAGACTCTCCGGCAGCACTGTCTCATCCGTGGGTGGTCCGTGTATGTCCCATGTAATTAAAATGAATCGCCTGCCTTCCCATGTATGGACGGTGGGCTGGTGCCTCCGGAGCAGGTCCTGGTGGCGGAGGCGCCGGCGGAGGGGACAGGTGGTGCTGCCCAGCCAGCCGGGACCCCCCGGGAGTCCAGCACGGCCCCTTCCCCTGCCAGCTCCCCGGTGCGGTCTCACCCGGCCGTCGACGAAGGTGCGCACCGCTCCTGCTCTAGCAGCCTAAGCGCATTTCACGTCACCTCACCAATGACGGGCACGGCCCCAGAAACAAAGCAGGCGCCATTGGGTTTCCTAGGAAAATGTGTTTTGCGGAATCCAATCTAGGACTTATTTGTATCCGACTACTTTGTCCGTCTGCCTCGGCATCCGGGAAAGCCTGTGCTTGATGGGATCAGGGCAGGAGCCTGGCAAATGAGATGCCAGCATTTGCATCCACGCTGCCCACGGGCATGCGCCACGCCGGCGTGACGGGATGTGACTGAGTCGTGGCTTTATCTCCACTCGTGTGGGATGTGGCTGCCTAGTGACACTTTCCTGTCTGCTTTCGTGATGCCACCGGATAAAGACGTTTCTGGAGTAAAGGGTTTTGCGCGGCACAGCAACACTGTGGCATCTCTAAGCGAGTGAGTGTGTGAGGGCGCCGGGCCCAGGGTGGCCCCAGAAACGCTGAGCCCGGTGTGTGAGGGCCCCGGGGCCCCGGCTGCTCTGTCGTTAAGTGCACACGAGTGGGGCTCACACCGTTTTAACCACCAGCCAGTGTCAGACATTTGACTCGTACATTTCCCTCTGGTCTCGGAGGTTCTGGCAGCAGGTCTGGCTCGTGCACATGGTTAGCTTACAGCTAACCCAACCCAATAAACAGTGATTCCCTAATCGAATCTGATACTAGTTCAAGTTCAGTTTCCCCCACGTGATGCGGTCCCGCCCTCCTTCCCGGGGCTCCTTTCCCTTCCTTTGTGGCCACTCTCCTGCTTTCTCACCTTCGCATGTCTCCTCCGGTGAACGCCACGTGCCTGAAGACGTCTTCCCGTGACAGAGGAGAAGTTCTGAACTGGAAACCAGTGGGTGCCCGGAGCCCCCTCGGGCCCTCCTGTCACCCGTGGGCTGGACGCCTCAGGACCCTCACCCTCTCCCTGCGCCTGTACCTGCTGGAAGCCGGCACTGCGTGCCTCTCCCTGTCAGGAAAGAATTAAAGACAACATCTAGGGTAGGAAGCAATTGTGGAGGGTGCAAGTTTCTGGCCAGGCAAATAAATTGGATTTAAGTATATTACAGTCATAATCTTTTTCTGCCTCTCTCCAGACGGTCTCTGTACATGGAAAAATGAGAATGTATTCGCAGACAAAGCGTGACCTGAGGGAGAAGCCTGCCGGAAGCTGGATTTTCAATAACATAAGACAATAAAGCTTAGACGCCTAACCTGCTGCAATATGGTCAGAGCATAAAGAGCTTAGCTGCTAATAAAAGGGAAGGGGCTTCCCCTCCCGCCTGACGACGCGGACCCCCCAGAAGGACACTTCATAAAGATCATAATGGGTTAGCTGGGATCACGCAGACACGGGGCCCCTTGTTGACCGATTGTCTGACACTTGTCACCTATGGGTCTGATATTAATAAGTTCCGTGTTGATTTCCTCGGGGTATTTTTGTCCCTGTAATTGCACACCTTCCTGTGGTGACCCTACGCGGAGTGACATGTGGGCTACAGGTACCTGATGGCGAGATGCATATGCGTCACTCTCTTCTTTCGGGGCTGTGCCCACCGTGCCATGGCACCTCCCTCGGTGGGCAGAGGACAGAGCCAGCTGCCCCTCCCTGGAGGCCAGGCATCCCACCTTCTCCCACAGCGGGGGCAGTTGGTGAAATTCAGGATCCGGAGTGACTTTCCTCTGAGTGTGTTTTCTTACTTTATCAGGAGATTAATGGTTGCCAAGCTGTTCCCCAGACAGTGTAATTGAGGCAGATTTCATGAATGTACTGGGTGAGTATGATGCATAAATACAGCTGGGAGAGGGGCAGTGCTTGGATACAGATGTTCTGACCTGTGAGATGCCACTGAACCAGCGCATGGCTGCAGAAAACTGTGACATCACCCACACTTCCTGCCTGTCTACCCCTTCCCGTGGGGCAGAGGGCCTAGGCCCTGCCCCCACCCCACAGCCTCTCCACCTGGACTGTCTGATGGTGCCAGGCTGGTCCATGCCTTACTTATCCTGTGCCAGGCTCTTCTCTTTCATCTGCAATTTAAAATGATGTTGAAGCCAAGTTTTCCAGAACATTCCACTTCTGCTAATTCCAGGCGTTGCTTCATCCCTTGAGCTGCACCTTGGAGAGCCTGCCCCATTCCACGGGGATGCATCTCTGTTGAGGTTTCATTTCCGGGTCAGTCCCTAACGAGGGGAGGTGCATATGGGAGGGCTGATGCTCCTGGAGACCCACACTGCATGCCCTGCACTGCCGTTCTCCGGGCACCACCGTTCTCCGGGGACCCCATCCTGGTCCACCTGGAGAGGGAGCAACATGGCAGAGCGTGCCCTCCGGTGGGCTGCATGCCTGCCTCACGGCCAAGTCCCACCGAGGGGACGCGGGACACTTCCACTCTGATTCACAACACTGACGGAGCTATGTGGGCTTCTCCCTTTGATTGTCAAATACAGACCATGGAAACGCGGGTGCCCACAGGAAGCATGTGACCATGAGGCAGCTGACGAGGAGAAGGGGAGGGAGCTGCTTCCCTCGGTGAGGCATAAGGCAGGGCTTTTAGAAACGTCCAGGCCCTGGTGTCAGGGGACTTGAGAGGGAGCCGCCTGCCTCTGGGTCAGGTACTGAGGCTCCCAGGTGTCAATGCTGAGCCACCAACAGGCCCACAGAACCCTCCAGCCACAGTGGCAACTCCCATGGTGCTATGGTTCTATGACGGGAGGTCCTGAGGCCTGTGGATGGTTCCTACAACCTATTGGGCTCAGGAGGCCAGAGCCCAGGACCAACATGGGCTCCTGGTCAGAGGCCTGGCGTGGGAGTACCATCAGGTGTGCCAGCCGTGCCCTCCATGACTGATCTTCCTGAGCTCCAGTGTCCTCTCAGAATAGGATAACAGGTGCCATTGGGCAGATCAACTGAACTCAGTGCAGCTTTTTTTTTTTTTTTAAGAATAGTTTGTTGATTTTTAGAGAGAGAGGAAGGGAGAGGGAGAGAAACATCAAAGTGAGAGTGAAACATCCATCTGCTGCCTCCTGCCTGCCCCCTACTGGGGGTGCAGGTTTTTTTTTTTTTTTAAGAATAGTTTGTTGATTTTTAGAGAGAGAGGAAGGGAGAGGGAGAGAAACATCAAAGTGAGAGTGAAACATCCATCTGCTGCCTCCTGCCTGCCCCCTACTGGGGATCGAGCCCACAACCCGGGCATGTGCCCTGACCAGGCATCAAACTGGCAACCTTTCAGTGCACAGGATGACACCCAACTGAGCCACACCGTCCAGGGCAATTGCAGCCTTTTAATAGAAGACAGTTCTCCGCCTTTGAAGGGCAGAGTATGGTATTAGTTGTCTCCCCCTGAATTTCATATGTTGAAGTCCTAACCTCCAGCCCCTCAGACTGTGACTGTATTTATAGATAGAATCGTTAAAGGCAGTTAAGGTTAAAGGAGGTCATAGGGGTGGGCTCTAACCCAATATGATCATTGTTCTTACAAGAAGAGGAGAATAGGACACAGGCACACAGAGGGAAGACAGTGAGAAGACAGAGCGAGAAGACGACCCTCTCTGCACCAAGGAGAAGGCCTCCGAAGAAACCAAACCTGCTGATACCCTGATATTGGACTTCTAGCCTCCAGAACTGTGAGAAAATACATTTCTATTGTCTAAGCCACATATTCTGTGGTATTTTGTTATGGCAACCGGTGCAGACTAATACAGGCAGGTTTTCCAGCAGCTGCCTCTGTTCTGAGCCTTTATTCCTCAGTCTCTTCTGAAGGTGTTTCTGTCACGAAGTCACATGCTCAGAGGCCTCCCAGCCTTGTGACAGGAGAATAGAATGCCTGTGTGGTAGAAACAAGCCTATGAACACAAGGACAAGACAAGTAAACTCATGCTGGACCTCACCCTCTTGCAAATAAAAACTACAAACTCTGGACAGAAAGAAAAATAATGACCCCCACTCATGTCTCTGGCTGACCCCTGAACCACACATGCTTTTTCACAGACTTTAAGCAAGTTAGCTAAAATAAAATATCCGAACTGTGATTTGTGCTTATACTGAAGACACGGAGTTTTCACACTAAATCCAATTGTGTTAATTACTTCATAAAACAACAACAAAATCAACTCTCTCTGGGGGATTAGAACAGAATTCAGACTCTCCACAATGTAACAGCCCAATACATGCCATTCCAGGATGCAATCTAAATTTGCTCGACAGGAAGAAACAGGAAAATGTGACCCAGTCTCAGGAGAAAAGTCATTCAACTGAGAATAATCCTGAGATGACTCCAAGGTGTTGGAATTAGAAGACAAGGATTTTAAATATTATAACTGTACTTGAGGAAGTAAAGAAAAATATGCTGGCAGTGAAAGAGGGGGAAAGAAATCTCAGCTAAGAAATTGAAATGATAAGAATATGAACTACATGGAAATACTGGAACTGAAAAAAAAAATACAACAGTATTTGATTTTGAAAATTCAGTGAATTGACTTACTACCAGAATGGAAATAAGAGTCAAGAGTTCGTGAACATGAATATAAATGATCCAATCTGACAAAAAGATAACACTCTGGAAATAATGGACAGAGCCTTGGGAACCCGTGGGACAATATCAAATGGTCTAACATCTATGCAATTTGAGGCCCAAGAAGAGAGGAAATAGAGAATGTAGCAGAAAAAGAATTCAAAGATCTAGTGATCAAGAAGTTTCCTAAATTTGACAAAATACATAAATTTGAGTTTCAAAAAGCTCAGTGAATCCCAAACAGGATAAATAGAAATAAACCACACCTAAGCATCCTAACCAAACTGCTGAAAATTTTTTTTAAAAAGAGAGAGAAATCTTTAAAGCAACCAGAGAAAAACTATACACATTGTACACAGAGCAGTGTTATTTGAATGACTGCAGACATCTCATCAGAAACTATGGAGGCCAGAAGGCAGTGGAAGAATGTCTTTAAAGTGCTGAAAGAAAAAACTGTCAACCTAGGATTCTATAATCAGGGAGAAATAGTATTCCCCCAAAATAAAAATACTTTCAGATTAAAGAACACTTAACGACTCTGTTGCTATTTATAAGAAATGCTAAAACAAGTTCTTTGAAGGAAAATAAGACCAGTTGGAAATTTAGATTTTAGGGGGGCAATGAAGAGTATCGAAACTGGGAAATATGGGTAAATATAAAAGAACTTTAAAATCTTAATCTCTTTGAAATACATAATACTGTTTGAATCTAAAAATTCCAATATTGTCTTCTGGGGTTTACCAGGTATGTGGACATAATATAAAGGACTGGGGAGCAGTTGGACCTATACAGTTAGAAGTTTTCTGTATTTTGCATAATGGTACAATGTTAACTCTAATAAGAATGAACAATTAAAGATGTGGGATGTTCTCCAAGATAGACGACCACAGGCTGGGCCACATATCAAGCCTTAATAATCTAAAGGATTGAATTCATGCAGAAGATGTAACCTGACAATATGGAATCAAATTGGAAATCAAGAACAAGAAGATGCCCAGGAAACCTGCTGTGGTAGATAGACAGAATCATGAATAAAACCCCACCCCGGGGTGTCCCGTCCTCATCCCTGCGGCCTGTGAATGTGTAAGGTTCCGTGGAAGGGGAATTAAGATCGCAGATGGGATGAAGGCTGCTCTGCTAGGACCTAGAGATGGGGCTCCTGCCTTATTCCAGCGCCTGTGTCGTCACAGGGTCCTTGTAAGTGGGAGAGGGAGGCCGGAGAGGAAGTCTCAGTGACGTGATGTGAACAGGACTTGACCTGCCTCTGCTTGCTTTAGGGATGGAGGAAGCCACAGCCCAGGAGTGCGGCCGCCCTGAAGCCGGTGGAGGCAAAGGCGTGGACTCTCCCCTGGAGCCTCCGGAAGGGTGCCTGCGCGTTCCCTCTGTGGTCCCCCGGGTCAGTCAGAGCCGAGGGCGCCGTCCAGCATCCAGGGAGACGATCTCCATTTGGCCCGACTTGCTCTGAGTCCACTTCCCACTCCGGCCAGGTGGTGGGCCCAGGAGAGGTGGGCGGTGATGCCAGTGAGATCAGGCCCTGCCCTTGGGCTTGGCCGACCAGCTACTGCCCAGCTCCCTGCCCAGCATCCCAGGCTGCAGTGCAGAGCGGAGGCCAGGGCGGGCCATGCAGCAGCTGCCCAGGCTCCCGGAGTTGGGGTTGCTGCCACGTCTGCTGGAAGGCGGTGGGGCAGGACTGAGGGAGA